TTCAAAATAAAATTTCAGCCAATCTTTGCCTTCTCTCTCATATTATCTACGTACATGTTAGGCTGTTACACATCTTCCTATCTTAGTTCCGCGTAGACGTAGTTTATATTGTATAATAAACCAATTTTCTTCTCTCTCCTTCTTAATCTAGCATTACATCGCCATTTTGCTTATTTATCACTCTAATTAATGACATACAAACCATCCTAATGTTTTCCCCAAGGCACTTTTAAAATTAATATATATGATGGTACTATTGCCACTCGAACTTGTTTATTCCCTCTGTCTCTGGATAAATCAATTTCTAAAGTTGTCTTAATAAATAAAAAAATTCAACTTTAGCTAAATTTATAGAAAAGAGCATCAAGATTTATGACAACAAATTAGTATCAATACTCCATAAAAAATATTTTTTATTTGATTATTTAGTGTCACGAATATTTATGCTCTTTTCTACAACTTTGTTTAAATATAAAAAATCTGACTTAACATAATTCTAGAACTTGATTTATTTAGGAACGAAGGGAGTATTTATTGTCCTGCGGCATACCTCTTCTTTTCACTTTGGTGTACTTCCTTTTTATCTGTAATAGACTATGTATATATCCAGCTAGTGCCATATCTTTGTTGACCTGCGTGCGCCACTGCATGCGGTCTCTAATCTTATTGTGAAGGGAATAAAGATGATTCAGGGGACGGTGACAGCTCCCAATATTACCCTACTTAGCCGGACAATTACATAGGAGTCGTCTAAAAAAACAATTACATAGGAGCAGTATAGTAGTAATGGGAGATTAGTGGGCTTTGCACAGCAGTGATATATATATATATATATATATATATATATATATATATATATATATATATATATATATATATATATATATATATATATATTCAGTGGCCAGCTACAAAATAAGTTATTCTGTAGCCACCTCTATTTACGATAATTTTATATACTAATTTACGATAATGTCAATACATATTTACGATAGTTAGATTACTATAACACATGGGGATATTTACCATAACGTTATAGTAAACCACTTTAGTAAGGAGTTACTATAATCTCATAAATTAACATAGTAATTATCGTAACTCAAAGTGGCTACAGAATAAGTTATTTTGTAGCCAGCTACAGGGTAGTATATATATATATATATATATATATATATATATATATATATATATATATATATATATATATATGTATAGCTCGAAATATGCTTTAGGAGGATGATTCCACTGCGATGATAGCACATCAAGTTATATAGTACTCATTAACATGTTTTCGTCGCCAACATGTGGTAGATTATTGTGTCCTTTGTTTTTTGAAAAAGGGTAGATTATCGTGTCGTGGGCTCGTGGGTGAGTATTATCTCGGCTCACAAATAGGAGACGTGCATGTTGTGTTTAGGTTGTCTAGCTAGAGCCGGCCATCTAAATTCTGATTAGAAAATTACGTTTTTGTGTGTTCAATTTAATAATTAGTAAATATCTCAAATTAGTAGGAATAGATAGTATTTTTATCATAATATAAAGTGGTTTCATAATAATAACATTTGTTCATTTCCTATGGACTACTACTTCTATCTACAGAAGAATGCAATTCTACGCGCATTCTTGATTAACGTGTCTAAAGTTTGATCAAATATATAGATAAAAATATTAATATTTATAATATCAAATAAGTATAGTATGGCTCATGACAAATCTAAAAGTACTTATTTGATAGTATAAATATTAATATTTTTAATTTATAATTAGTCAAACTCAAGATACTTAAACTTGATATTATGTTAGAATTGTATTCTTTTGTGATCGGAAGGAGTACTATGTGCTAGGAAAAAAATTGTAGGGAAAAATTATCATTATCTTGGAGAACAGATCGATCCATCAATAACATGCGAGATGTCACTTTTTGTAAATAAAATCTAGATAAAGCCCCATTGAAACTAGCCTAATGCAAGGCTGGGCAACTATATTTGTAATGCTAAATTACTAAGTAATACTGTACAAATAAATGATTAATTACTACTGGTAGACTGGCCTAGTAAGTATAATGTCTTGTAATGCAGGGTGTATGATCGGCAACTGCGCTGTGGGGTGGCTGTTGACTGTGGCCAAGCGTCCTTGTCGATCTGGTCCTCGACCTCAAGACCATTCCGGCAGGTCTGTCGAGCGGAAGAAAATCGACCGCCAGGAATTTCGAGCACGTTCGACGACGATGCTAGCATTGAACACCGATCGAGTAGTAGACTAAAAATTACGTTTTTAGTTATTAATTTCATTAGTAAATATATCAAATTAGTAGTAGATGTTTTTTTATCATAATGTAAAGTGGTGGTTTCATAATAACATTTTTCATTTTCTATGTACTGCTACCTCTGTCCATAAAAAAAATACAATTCTATGTATATTCTTAATTAACATGTCTAAAGTTTGATCAAATATATAGACAAATTGATTAATGTTTATGACATTGAATAAGTATAATATGGAAATACATCTAACAATACTTATTTGATAATATAAATATTAATATTTTTATTTATCATTAGTCAAACTAAAGATTAACTTGATATTGTTCTACCATTGTATCTATCCTTTTTGTGAACGTAAGGAGTATGTGTTAGGAAATTATATTATAGAAAAAAAATTATCATATCTTGGAGAAAGGATCCATCGATAACATCCGAAATGTCACTTGTTTCTCACTTGTGAGTTGTGATGAGTGGAGGAAGGAGCTAGTTTATTTTCATTTTCTTTTTTTCCATGAACAAGCCAAAAAGTTCTATGATCTATAGTAGGATAAACTAGTTAGCGTACCCGTGCGTTGCTACAGGACAGTAAAAGTTTTGTCGTAAAAACATAAGGATCGCACGATAAAATAACAATACTATGAAAATGTTAAAGTGACATTTAATCCAAAAAGCAAAATTCATGAAATTAACATCGTCACGGAGTGCGCGGCGTCGTAGGCTCACCGACTCGGTAAGGGTCGAGCGACAACCTTACCCATACCTATAACAATCCAAAACTTAATGCATTAACCATGAATTTACGAGTAATCAAGTATGTTTTAGACAAAGAAGAATCGATGTGGTAAAGATAGAAGAATCCAAAACTTAAGGGCAGGAGGGGACAGTGAGCTACTTCATAATATATGTATCTTAGATATGTCGTGTGCACTTGCACTCTAGATCAGTTTCTTCCAGTTTCTTTTCCTTCCACCTCTTCTAATCGCATATACGTATATGCAGTCATGCACGCACACTGCAGATGTCTTGCACACACGTTGCTTCAATTTGTTCTTCTTATGAGAAGCTGCATGCTTCATGAGAAGCTGCACGCTTCTGTCAGGACCAAAATACTCAGCGTCCATACGGATACCTGCCGAAGTCAACAATGTTTGATCGGAGTTCACATGTTCTTAATGCAGCAGCTACAAATCTAACGTACGACAGCAATGCCATGGGAGCAGCTTCAGCATACATATCATCTACCAAACATATCTAAGATACATGTCTAATGCATAATCAGCAAAATCGATTGGTCCCAATTATTCAACCGTGCATTGGGGAAACATACAGAGCTGCCATGAAAACATACAGAGCTGAATTATTCAACTTCAATTTGGTTTCAATTTTAACCGTGCTATTTCACTCCTCATTCAGATAGGTTTCACACATAATCAGCAAGTGCAGGCGAAGAAGCATGTGCAACACATCCATATTAGTTCCTCATTCAGATAGGTTTCACACATCCAGCATCCAACGCAAGAAGAAGAGATGGGATTAGGAGAGGAAGGTACCTGTCGCGCGGCCGTCCTAGCCCCCACGTGATGCAGCCAGGGCCCGCCATGCCCGCGCATCTGGCCGCGCCGAGGCCAAGCTCACAAAGCTTCGCTGGAGATGGGAGGCCGCCGTGAGAGGGAGCGCCACCGGCGAGGGAGGAGCGCCGCCGTCGCTGGCGAGGAAGGAGCGCCACCGCCGCCGGCGAGGGAGGAGCGTCGCCGCGGCCGGGAGGGACGAGCACCGTCGGCCGTTGGGGGGAGGGAGCGCCGTCGGGTGTCGGGTCATGAGAGAGACGAGGGGGGATTTTTTTTATTAGCCGTGGTATCGCAGGGGTCGGGGTGGGCAGACGGACGAACCAAAACAAATATCGCAGGGGTCGATGCATGATTATTGTTTTCTTCCGTGCATTTGGCCTCAGGTGATCGATTTGTTTTCTTCAAAGTAGGCGGTGATCCTTTGAAGAACATCAACATACCTCCCTTACAGAGCAGCATGATTATTGTTTCCTTCCATGCATGTGGCCTCAGGTGATCGATTTGTTTCCTTCAAAGCAAGCGGTGATCCTTTGAAGAACATCAACGTACCTCCTTTCTAGAGCGGCATGATTTCGATGCATGATTATTGTTTCCTTCTATGCATGTGGCCTTAGGTGATCGATTTGTTTTCTTCAAAGCAGACGGGTATCGCAGGCATAGGTAGACAGACGAATTAAAACAAATATCGTAAAAAAAATATCTATGTTTTTGTTCTTTTTAGCTGTAGGTGATAAAGTGCGCACTAGAGACCGCATGCATTGCACGTCCTAGCAGTAATTAACCTGTCAAGCCATTGATATGCTTCCACGGCCGCAGCAGGCCCAGCTCGGCGGCGGCCATCTGTCACTCGCGCCGGGGCGGGCCCGTCCCATCTCTTCACTTTGTCGTCATCCCATCTCAATCTATCGGGGACTATCGGCCGCCTCCGTCCGCCCGCCTGTGGTGTGGAAGACGAGACGAGAGGTCATCACATCTGGTAACGCACGGCCTGGCACGCCTACCAAGGGGCCCAGGCCACCATCAGTGCAGTACACCGCCCTTCCTTCCTTCCACGGCTCCACCTCCGATCCCCTGCTCCTTCACCTCCTGCTCTGTCTTCTTCTTCTGACGCCTCCAGAGCCACTCCGTGCATTCATCACAGAGTAGTAGTCGGGCAGAGCCGGACGAAATGGGGGAGCAGTCGCCGGCATCGCCGTTGCCACCGGCGCCGGCGGCGAAGGTGTACTACGACGGGTGCCCCGGCTGCGCCATGGACCGGAAGAAGGAGACCCACGCCGGCGTCCCCTACAAGGAACTGCTCTTCGTCGCCACCACAACCTTCGCCTCCGGTACTACTCTCCCCAAACCTGACGCTGATGCTCCTCCTGCTACCTGCTCTGCTCCTTCCATTTCTTTATCGGTCCATCCATTCCAACTGCCGAGACCAGACCATGTCGTCCGAGGAAGGACGACAGACGGTCTTATTTTACTGCCTGCGTGCTACTCTCTTGTTCGATCTGGGTATTCTATACTAGTACATGTGACAGTTTCTACGAGATTTGGCATCTTTTTTTTTCTTTTTTCTTTTTTTGTCTGCTGGACTGGACATTCTTTCTTCTCGGCCAGGCCGGCGGTGCCATGGCAGCTACTGATACTGAATGAATAAAAACTGAAGCTTCTTCTGATTCTTCTGAAACGTTTCAACTCTGCTGCTCAACTGATTTCTCAACGCCACTGCTCTTGTCCTTTTTTCAGCTCTGCCAATCACGTCCCTGTTCCCCTTCCTCTACTTCATGGTAAGCCTGCCTGCCATTCTCTTGGCTGGCGGCATATTCGTCCTCTGAAATCATCTATGCTTTTTTTTGGCAAATAAAAGATACTGATGACTTTTCCTTTAATTCCCCCTGATGGTGATGAAACAGATAAAGGACCTGCATATCGCACCGAGGGAGGAAGACATTGGATTCTACGCTGGTTTCCTCGGTACGTATGCTTTTGCTGTCACTCACACAGTCACACTCAACTCAACCCAACCCAAGTGCCAATGGCTGACAGAAATCCATGCGTGTTTCTTTACACTACTCGTTCTTTTTTTTTTCTGGTCCATGTGAAATCTCTTTCCCCTCCTTTTTCCCCCGTCTTTTCTTCAGGTGCGGCATATATGATCGGCAGAGGTGTCGCGTCGGTCTTCTGGGGTGTGGCAGCGGATCGTGTTGGCCGAAAGCCTGTCCTCGCGTTCTCTGTCTTTTCGGTGTAAGTGCTCCATCCATCGCCGTTTTTCTTTCCTTCTTTTCTTTCCATAACAAACAGCTACCACAAAAAAAAATTATCCATAATTAGTCAAAGTTAAATCTTAGTAGTAATATTTTGATCCCTTTATTTATTTATTACTAATTCATTTCCAATTGAACCTATGTTTCAGCATTGTGTTCAACACTCTGTTTGGACTGAGTGTCAAGTACTGGATGGCGATTGCCACAAGGTTCCTTCTTGGTGCACTCAACGGCTTCCTTGCACCAGTAAAGGTATGTACTCCTACTCTGTTGTTAGAAACTTGAAAGTGCCAATTCCTAGCTAAGAAGAGACAAAGGAACTATGTCGCTGTCAGTTGCTGTGCCCTGATTCCAGCAAATAATGTAGTGTGAATGTGGTTACTGCTTTCTGCTACAGGCCTACTCCATTGAAGTTTGCCCACCTGACCAACAGGCCTTGGGTATATCAGTTGTAAGCTCCAACTCTACACATAACACTGTACGTAATAGTATAACATAATTACTGATCAGAATAGACTCTGTTTGATCCATTTAATTTGATTTAGGTCAGCACAGCATGGGGAATGGGTGTTATAATTGGCCCGGCAATTGGGGGCTATCTAGCACAGGTATCTGACAAAGATTTTTTTTACTGTTTTTCAACCATTTGGATTACTTACTTTTCACCTTCTCTGTTTTCCTTCCTTCCTATTACCAGCCTGTCAAACAATACCCACATCTGTTTCATGAGAATTCAGTGTTCGGAAGGTAGTATTCCTTTCGACCAGAATTAAATTATTTTGTTAACACTAAGTTAGAATGATTTTTTTCTTCTTGTCCCAACCATGCAGGTTCCCATATTTATTGCCATGTCTATGTATATCATTTTTGGCTACCTTGGTTCTCATAAGCTGTATATGGCTCCCGGTAAGCTCAACCTGCTCTCTATATGAATGTATGCTTTCAGATTTGTTGTTGTCATGAAGGTTTTTTTATGTTTTTATGATTTTTTACGCATAAATATGTCTTGTTGTTGGCACACTAAAATAGCCAAGTCCATGTGAATATGCTATCCTACCTTATTAAATTACACAAAATTCTGTTTGATAATTTTGCACTTTGCTGTCAGCTTATTTCTATTGTCATTCATCGAGTAACTAAACTAAACAGGAGACCCTACATAAGCACAAAGGCCTTGAGAGAGCAGTTGAAATGGTAGAAGGTACTACAACTCAAGAAAGTGCAGAGCCACCTAAGAAGAGCTTACTCAGAAACTGGCCACTGATGTCCTCCATTATATCATACTGTGTCTTCTCCCTTCACGACACCGCATATTCTGAGGTACCACTTACCGACCACAACAGCTTCTACACTGAAATGAATTGTTATAAAAGTTGGATAATGTTGGGATTCAACATCAGATATTTTCTCTATGGACCGTGAGTGACAGAAAATATGGCGGGCTTAGCTTTGCATCTAAAGATGTGGGTCAAGTTCTTACGGTCGCAGGTAATTCCACTCCAGCCAATACTTCCCAAGTACTTAAAAAAATCCGAGGCATCCACTTGATCAGTTGTGTGTTTTATGGTTATAATAAAGTCTGTACACTGTAGTAAATGCAATTTTTGGATATATCGTCAATACTTATCCTCTGCTCAACTGTAGGTGCCAGTCTTCTAGTATATCAAATCTTTGCTTACCGTTGGATCGATAGAGTCCTTGGTCCAATCAATTCAACCCGAGTTTCATCGGTGAGTTATTGATGTTTCTCTATTTTTTTTCTTTTCAAAATTGTTCATAATTCTTATCAGTTGACCAATAAGCATCGCAGGCACTATCTATACCAATAATTGCTGCTTATCCCTTCATGACACACTTGTCAGGAATAAGACTTGATGTGCCTCTCTATATCGCAGCAATGCTCAAAAGCGTTTTTGCAGTAAGTACTTCACTATGATTAAGCTCTGAGTTTCAACACATAAAACACATCACCAACCACTAAATTGTTAAATTCATACACTGATGTAGAATTAGAAATCCAGGACAAAAGATGCTGGTCATGTATTTTGCTTTACTATTCTGCCTTTGTGCTTCATTCATATGTTCAGCTTTGGGATACTAATGTCTAAGTATGTTGATCAGATCACTAGAACTACCGGCACTTCGCTCCTGCAAAACAATGCTGTGGTACATGCCCAACTTATGCTAGCTATATTGATTATCATCCGATGCCCTTCCAAGAACTGATCAATAATTTTTTTTTAACGTAGATCAGTAATTGTTATCAGTGCTGATGTCAATATGTCAGATAAACCTAACATCTGAACCGGATGCTATCTGCAGCCTCAAGAACAAAGGGGCGCTGCAAACGGGATAGCTACAACGGCAATGTCTCTGTCCAAGGCGTTCGCTCCAGCCGGAGCAGGCATCTTGTATGTGCAAAGCTAGCAGTGCTGCCTAACCCTCTTGTTATTCGTTTGATGTTCATCGCGGTCTTGAAAATGTTGCTAGTTAGTCTATCATTCCTAGCTTCTCAGTGATTGCTTGTTGTGTGATAAGCATGAAAGCATGGGCCAGGCAGGACAAGCTAGTGTATGTGTATGTACATGTATTTTGAACAAGAAGCTCACCGCTGAAACGCCTCTGGTTGTAGGTTCTCATGGGCACAAAAGCGTCAGCATGCCTCATTCTTTCCAGGTAAATTTATGTATATGCAGTGTTGCACTATGATCTTTCAAGTAGTTACTGCAGTAAAACCACATAGAGGATTCAGATCTGAAAGAAAGGTTAAAAGGGGATTGTGATTAATCCCCACATTTTTTTCCGTATATATATACATGCAGGCGACCAGATGGTGTTTCTGCTCCTGAATCTGACAGAGGTCATCGGGCTGGTGTTCACCTTCAAGCCTTTCCTTGCAGTTCCGCAGCAGTATAAACAATGAAACTGTGAAAGCATGCTGCAAGCATATAGAGGTAGTGTGAGGGCGAGACGAGGGTGATAACATGAAGTAGAAGTTTGCCGTAGCGTGCCAGCCATGCATGCTGTCAGTGCATACATACATACACAAGACTGAAAACAGAGCCAGGTGTGCAACGGAATTCAGTTTTGAGTCCATCGTTTGATGCCGCTGTTGTTGACTTGTATAGTCGACAGAAAAAAAAAGCAAAGCTTTTTTACTAGTTCGGTAAATGGGTTACTGGCGTACTGCCTCGATTTCACTTTGTTGTTTTTTTAAGCGATTTCTCTCTGTTGTTGGCTGTTAGCCTCTGATTGTACTCCATAGTACTCGGCTGCCCCGTCCTAACGTAGATCAACTTTTAGAGTTGCTACCCTTTCCAAAAAAAACTTTTAGAGTTGCTTATTAAGTCAAACTATTTTTTTTTTACCAAATTGATATAGGAGCTGCTCTATAAACTTCAGCTGCGCACATGCATGCCACCTTTTTTGCTATAGTGGTGGGACTTGGCAGGTCTCCCAATCCCAAGAGTAAAATGCAGCGGCGGCCTTTAAACTTAGCAGAGGATATCATCTAGGTTCCCAAATTTTTAAAATACACATCAGGGTATGTCACAGGTCGACCCGTTTGCTGATGTGGTGGTCCAAGCTGGCACCAGACCAGCAAATAAACTTTCAAAATGCACATCCACATACATAGTTTAAAATATATGGAGGCCCGTGTCGTGCCCGTGATGGCACTACGGGTCGGTATGGAGGCCCAGGCACGGGCACGGTGGCGGGCCAGGCCAAGCATAGGCACGAGAAGGTCGTGCCACACTGGGCTTGGGCCGCGTTTTTGGGTCTGAACCCTTGGTCCAGCGGGCCTGCCCTGTTTGGGCAAGTATATGTGCCACCACCAGATCCCCACCCGCGTTGCCGCCACTGTCGGATCCCCGCACGTGTCATCAGCACCCTTCTAGGCTAGGCATATTTACACCGAAAACCGAACCGAAATGTCAGTTTTTTCGGTTTTTGGTTTCGGCTTTGGTTTTGAAATCCAGAAGTTCGGTGTTCGATGTCAGCTTCAGTTTTGACCTGAAACCGTACCGCAGAGCCGAACAACCGAGCAATCACCGAATACACTGGCTCCTAGCGACCCAATTACCTCCACTCCGCTTCGTGCGACGAGTCCAACAAGCCAGCAAGCAGCCCACCACACCTCGGTCGGCCCATAAACACCGCACCCTCCTTGTCCCCACTCCCACTCAAGTCAAAACCTAATCCACGGAGCGGGCGAGCGGCAGCACGGACTCCCAAGTGTAGCGGCGGTGCGGCGCATCTGAAGCGGGGGGCGCTCCGCGCTCGCTAGGGCGGCACGGCTCCTCAACCCTCGACAGCGGGGGCACGCCCGCGCGGGTGGAGCGGCGGCCGGCAGGGGTGCTTCGCGCGGGGGTGGTGTGGCTGCTCGGCGGGCGGCGACGGCTACTCAACAGCGGATAGGCTCACGGGCTAACGTGGGGCGGTGGCCGCTAGGGCTCCTTTGCCGCGGCACCACAGCGGGCGGGCAGCGCATCTGCGACTACGAGCGACGTAGGAAGCGACTCCTCTTTTCTTCTCTTCTCTATGTCTGCTGTTATGTTCGGTTCCAACCAAAAACCGAACCGAAAAATCCAAAGCCGATAGTGTCGGTTTTATGTTTTGTGACAAACCGATCGATCATTTGATGCTAGAAACCGAAGTTTTTGAAAACCGAAGAAACCGAACCAATTTTTTGGTTAAAACCGAATGCCCAGCCTGAGCCCTACCCACCGGTGTTTTCTCTCCTCTTCTCCTTTGCCAATGGTACTCTCTCCTCTTCTCCTCCACCAGGCACATGTCATTTCCCCTCCACGGCGGCGCCAAGGTGAGCTCGAGCTTCGGCTGTGCATGGCGGCAGGATCCGCTAGAGCAAGCTAAATTCCTCGAATGGTAGTTTTTTCTCATTGGGGGATGAGAATAGGGATCACTGTCGTTGCTACAGGGAACAAAGACAGATTAGGTTTAGGCCGACGTGGAAGCAATCTGAAGGCAAGGACTTACATTTAGGCCCTATTTGGATTCTATTATTTTAGAGTTTAGACCACTTTAGCTCTTGAGGCTCCAAACAAGAGGTCCAAAGTGCTGTCTAAAGTTTAGACCATCTCTTTAGTGCAAAAAAGAAAAAAGTTTAGACCATCTCTCTAAAATTTTATTCTTTAACTTTAGCCATTAAACTTTTGACCAGATAATCTAAACAGGCCTTGTCTTACGCTAATTATACTACAGGGAGGTCATATATTTTTTTTAAAAAGGAAAAAGGTTATATAATGCATCATATAATAGTTTTTATATAATGGAAATAATTTTCGTCTTCTTCCTCACAAATGAGGAATCAAATCAGCATCCTTAATCTGAAACTAGTGGTGGATCGATACTAGTGGAGCACTCAAGGTTTCGGATTCTTAATCGAGCACACTATCTCAACAAGTCCATGTAAGTAAATTTGCACTCGCCATTATATTCTTTTGACAGGGAGTGAGGGAGGTCATACATATTTGCAAAAAAAAAAAAACGTTATATAATTCATATAGTGGTTTTCAAATGATGGAAATAACTTTCGTCTTCTTCCTCACAAACGAGGAATCAAATCAGCATGCTTAACTAGAAAAAAGAGTTTCCACGCTCTGACGTTCACACAGCAGGGCTCACAACACCCTAATTCGGATGTCAACGTAAACTGGCTACTGTTGAATCATATTTATTTACTGAGCTATAAGTAAGGTTATATACTAATTAATAAAATATAGATATATACTACTAGTACACTTGAAGGGGCCGACTGGGACTGCAAATTCATTTCTTGCACGCAAGGTCCCCGGCTTAAAAAGGATTGTTCTTGACGACCGACCGACCTAATTGCACTGTGGACGTCTCGGCAAGATGATGAATGGACGAGATGTTGGTTCGTTCGTTATCTTCCTGTACGTACATTCTCGATCGTTACGACGAGTCGTCGATCGTCCTTAAGGTTTTTTATACACACACCTAGCTACGTACGTCTTTGCCAGGTTCGGATGAATTTGTGCGTGATGGTTCATCCAATCTCATCTCACTGCAAGTGCGTGCATGCAATGCAAGCAAGCCAGCCTCAGTCAAGTCCAGCTGCTTGCTTTACTCCAAAGTCCAAAGGCAAATCTTCCTTATTGTTAGCTTGCATCCACAAGGCAAGCAACAAATGAACGAATCCAAGACAATGCGTACTCAATTACAACTACTGAACACTGGTGATCACGAAGTCTATTTATGATGGAAGCCGCACGCAAGAAATCGATATCTCACTGAAGCTAGCACACCGTACCAGAGGTATCGAGCTAGAGCTAGAAGAAGAAGACGACAATGGAGGCGCGCGAGGGGAAGAAGAAGATGCTGGCCACCCTGGTGGGCTGCAACTACGCCGGCACGCCGTACGAGCTGCAGGGCTGCATCAACGACGTCCACGCCATGCGTGCCGTCCTCCTCGACCGCTTCGGCTTCGCGCCGGGCGACGTCACCGTGCTCACCGACGACGACCGCGGCCGCGGCGCCGCCGGCGTGCTCCCGACCGGCGCCGGCGTCAGGCGCGCGCTGTCCGACATGGTGGCGCGCGCGGCGCCCGGGGACGTGCTCTTCTTCCACTTCAGCGGCCACGGCACGCTCGTCCCGCCCGTCAGCGGCAGGCCACGCCGCGGCCATGGTGACCGCAACGACGAGGCCATCGTGCCCTGCGACTTCAACCTCATTACAGGTTCGTGTAGGCGCGTCATCCTGACCTCTGACTGACATAGTGCGTGACTGACATGCCTGTATGCACGCACGCACCGCACGCGACGTCGGACCGGCAGACGTGGACTTCCGGGAGCTGGTGGACCGCGTGCCGGCGGGCGCCACCTTCACCATGGTGTCCGACTCGTGCCACAGCGGCGGCCTCATCGTCCAGGAGAAGGAGCAGATCGGCCCCACCGCCGCCGCCGACCCCGATCTCCACGCCCACGCTGCTGGCCGGTTCCTCCCGTACGCCGCGGTTCTCGGCCACCTGTCCGGCACGTCGGGCATGGCCGCGTCCCACCACATCACCGACCACCTCGTGGCGCTGTTCGGCGCCGACGCCAGCGCCAAGTTTCACCTCCACCGCCGCGACCACGATGGCAACAGCAGCGGCGCCACGTGCACCGAGGGCGCCGGGATCCTCCTGAGCGGGTGCCAGACAGACGAGACATCGGCGGACGTGGCGGGGGACGACGTCGCGGCGGTCGGCGGCAGGGCGTGCGGGGCGTTCAGCGCCGCGCTGCAGGCCGTGCTGGCGGCGCACCTGGCGCCGATGAGCAACCGGGAGGTTGTGCGCCGTGCCAGGGAGGTGCTCAGCAAGCAGGGGTTCCAGCAGCACCCCTGCCTCTACTGCAGTGACGCCAATGCCGACGCGCCGTTCCTGGGCCAGCAGGAGACCAAGGCCAAGAGCAACTGAGCAAGGAGGAAACCGCCGCCGCCGCCGCCATGCTAAAGACCTCTAGTAGTGTGTAGGCGCCGTTCCTGCTCTCATGCTTGATCCCCTGCCATTTGTGCGTGTGCTTATTATTATTTATTACTGAAATATTCCCTCAGTTCTAAATTATAAAACGTTTTGCCTTTCAAGATACATTGCTTTTAATATGTATCTAGACATAGGGTATATCTACATACATAGCAAAAACTACGTTTCTAGAAAAGCTAAAATATCCTATAATTTAGAACGAATTGAGTAACTACGTGGTATGCGGAGAGAAATATGAGCCCTGCAACATGATTATGCATGACAGAATTCTCCTTTTATTGTCCACTGTATATCTGCAATTCTGTGTGCAACTCTATCTTCATACTAAACCAAAAAATACTCCATCGATTATAAATTATAAGACATATGATTTTTCTAGATACTCCCTTCATCCATAAAACAATGCAATTCTCGTTTTT